GACAGCATTAGAGCTGCGGCTCTAAGCAAGTAAAGTGATATCTGGGTTACTACTCTGAGCAATTTATTTAATAACAGCCATTGAGAATTATTACAAACTTTGCAGTTTACATGGGTTTAAGTGCTCACTGATTGCATGGTGATGAAGAGCAGAGGTTCAAGTGGGGCATGTCGGAGTACTTGATACCGTTCTTGTGTTCCTCTTCTCAAAGACTAAAAGGATAGCCTATTTAAGCAAGCTGACACATGTTATATTTTTGTACATTTATCACTGCTGGGAAAAAATTCTCCAATTAACTTAAGATAACTTGCCTCATCTTAAAAACCCAGAGAGAGTCAATTACATTAGCCGGACACAACTAACTTATATTTTCTAACTCATTTTTAATTTTTGCATCTGTGAACAGCTCTGCACCTTCTGTGGACAATAAGTGACTGAATTCAAGCAGGGCAAGACAGGGTACATATCCCAGGGCCGCAGTCTCCCAGGGGCCCGAAGCAGTCAGCTTAATGTTACTGAATAGTCATTGTAATTTCATTTGTGTTATTATCACACATGTTGTGGAAATTGTAATAGTCATTGATCCCTAACAGATATCATATCATCATTCAGGAACATATGGGACAGGACAACTGACCTTAGGGACGGCCAGTTTTGGCCAGTTTATTTCAGTACCAGTTTGTGTCTTTAAGTAGACTGAACAGCAGTAAGGACCTTATCTGGGTGGGTGAAAGGTACAGCGGGTGAAGAGGAACCTTGAAAAGAGTATAAAGGCTGTCTCATATCTTCCTGTTGGGTGTCACTCTCATGCACAGCGTAACTTCTGTGTGTCAGACTAAACCTATTCTTGCAAGAATAAATCATTTTAAAAGACCTTTTGTCTCAGAATGTCTCTTACGCAGTGATATTGGTTGGTTAATGATTTTTTGCCACAACACACACCATCTGGAGATGTCTTCCCCCACAGGTCAGATTATTCCATGTGATTTTGTATCTCAATGACTACTAAAATATATATTTTTTGTTGATTATAATTTTACTTCAGTTCTTTTTTTAAATACTGCTTGTACTGTAAATGCAGGTTGCCGGTAAATGCATGACCAAAAACGACAGAGTACTTTTAAAGGGTTAGTTCACCCAAAAATAAAAATTCTGTCAGTAATTACTCACCCTCATGTTGTTCCGACCCCGTAAGACTTTCGTTCATCTTCGGAACACAAATTAAGATATTTTTGATTAAATCTGAGAGCTGTCTCACTCCTCCAGGCTTCTATGTAATTGAAACTTGCCGGCCCAGAAAGTTAGTAAAGACAATGTTTAAAATAGTCCAAGTGACTACAGTGACTCAACCATAAGTTTATCAAGCAACGAGAATACTTTTTGTGTTAGGTTAACTCTAACTAGGACTAAGCAGTGACCTTGAAATTTAGGAAATTGTATGTTGTTCTTTAATTTTGATCTCTACTGTATAAATGTGTGTGTGTGTGTGTGTGTGTGAGATAAAAAAAAATATTTTTTAAAGTAATAGTTTTTATATAAGTATAATTCGTATTAAGATACTAACCTTGACATGCAGTTATGGACCTCCGTGGTCCTTTGATTCGACTCTCCCAGGAAAAAAAATCTTATAGAGAGAATAGGAGGGATGGAAAGAGAAAAAGTGGACAGAGTTGTTTTCCTTTCTTTAATCTGCTCTTCCAAACCGTCCTTTCTTTCGAGGTTTATTATACAGAAATTAAAAGACTGTCAGTGCCTTTGTTTTGGACTGAAATAAACAAATGAACAGCAGAAAAACAAACACGCTCTGGAGGTCTGGATAATTACAGACAACAATTATGTAATTAATTTCTTTCACACTGCATTCTCCAATATCTCTTCTCTCCTTTGTCTCTCTCTCTCTCTCTCTCTCTCTCTCTCACGCACACACAATTTACCCAGTCAAGAGACCATTAGACACACTCAGCACTGACTGCAAAGGTACCCATCTACTTTCTTGACCTCCAGATTACAGCTAGAAAACATGATTGGTGGGGCAGATGTGGTCAGAAGGTCAACACTTTGGTTAGCAAGAGTCCAGATAAGGCATACATTCAATTCCCTCTCTGTGCTACAATAGCGATCACTGTCCTGGTTGGAGTTAACACTCCTACACTGAACTTTAAAGCCAAATACACTTCAAACACACATATACAAGCTCCCACTGGCTGACCGAGCAGCCCAATCTCACCTGAGCAGGCCCCTCAAACACTTCCCAGTAGATCAAAAGTAAAAAACTTGACTTTTTGAAAAAGTTACCGAAAAAAGTCCCCAAAAAATTAAATAAATAAAAGCCTCTAACTCTCTAAGCAGGGAATGCAGAGAGTCATTTCTCTGCAGAACACTCATTCAGGCTGTACGTCAAAACCACTTGCATTGAGCCCTGAACCGCTGCAGGGAATTGGAGGACACAGCATCTCCAGTTCAGTGCACTGAGAAACGAGAATGACTCATTGGCAGCAGCGTGGCCTGCCTGGATCTCTGCCTTTCAAACAGTCTTCACACAATCATCAACACCCTGAAAGTGGATATAGGCTGACAGCAACAAGACATTTGGGAAAGACAAAATCAGATGTCTTCTATCTCTCTCTCTCTATCTACCCATTTATCCATATGCCAACAATGACAAACTTTTCTTGACTTGTTAGAAATGAAATTATTGAGGTCAAAATATTAATCTTGAATATAATTGCACCATGAAACTGGACGCATATCATTTCATTTCTATGTATACATCTAATGTTTGAAAAACAAAGCTGGAACTTTTCTTTAGAAAGTGCTAAAGTTCAGTTCTTATTTATCTTCATATTGTCAATGCCGTTTATACACAGTGTTGTTTGGAGCAGATTGAGAATATTAGACAATTCTTCCAGAATGTGTGGATTTACAGTAATGAACATGGTGGCATAAAGCAGCCCTAAACATAATGTATTAGGATCTGCAGTGAAACACTGCAGTGTGTAAAATATAGGAACAGCTGCAGGAAGCCGCATAAAAGAATGGCTCTGACACAGAGAAAAAGCAGAGAACGTGAATCTTATTTCTTCACTTTATTGAAGTCTCACACGTTCCACTGGACCAGGGACAGAACATCAACACACAAACAGCTAAATAAAAGAAGTTGCACAGAATAAAATGACAGCAAATCAAACAGATCAGGTCAAAAAGACCACAGTCTCTCCATCGTGGAGGTTGAAACGGGTCATTTAAAGTGCTTGAATTCATTCCTCTGTTAGTAAACATCTTTTCTGTCCAGACCAACAGGTTGGCAGATGTTGTTTTCATGAAGCTATAATGGAGCAATGGTAGTGTTCTGACAATGCTGCATAATCTCGTGTCACAATAGGTGAAAAACACGACAAGACATGAACTATATATGGAAGGAAAAATGGAAGTTTTTTTTATAAGGAATTCATGGCAAGTGTTTATTGTTTCAGACATTTTCATGCTATCAAATAATCATCCAGGTGAGAAGAGGAGGATGCCATACACACATGGGCAGCAAGTCATAAATGTATTTTACACAACAGTAAAAGGTCTTTGTATGAGTGCATTTATTTTAGCAATTCTAAATCTAAAAACTAGACTTAGTTGACTTTTTTGATTGTTTTCTTTTCTCGCTGCAGAACCTCAATGATGATTTGTTAAAGGAAACAGCATCTTAGAGTTGCAGATACTCATGAAACAGTGTTTTTACAGCATGAAAAGAGATGTAGAAAGCCTCACATTTAAAGCATTAAAGCAAGAAATGGCTGGATGCATGCTTTACAATAATTTTTTAATAAAACTTAATGCTGCTTTACTCTAATTTATCTCAGTTTAAAGGCATAGTTCATAAAAAAATGTCGTCACCCTTTGTCACTCCAAACCTGACTTTCTTTTGTGGAACACAAAGATGTTTTAAAATGTTAACTGTTTTTGTCAATTCGGTGAAAGTCAATGCTCCAACTTTTTGAGAACTTTGTCATTTCAATCTTGGATACCATTGATTTTCATTGTATGGACTTACTAGCAAAATATCTTCTTTTATGTTCCACAGAAGAAAGCAATTCATTCTTTGGAACGAAATGAGGGTGAACAATTGATGACAACATTTTTGATTGAACTGTCCTTTTGATTATGGGTCATAACAATTTTGCCTGGTTAACAGTCAAATGAAAGAAAATATGTTCTGGGCACCAAACTGACACAAGCAAATGGAATTAATGTTCTTCTATAACTTTGCAATAGCAAGACTACAGTCCTTCTGCACACGTATACGACACAACGAGAGACAGATGTAGAGAAAGAAATACAAACAAAGTGTCTCCAGAGCATTACAAAACAAGCCCTCCATTGATTTTCTGCTTAGTATAACAACAGAGTTGGGTGAGAGAGAAACACACACACAAATATCCTTCTATTGATTTTCTTTAGTTGGTTTTAGACATGGCTGCCCATCACTGCTTAGGGTGTGTCTAGAGGTGTGCGGCCCAAATAAGAGTGTTGTAATACCCAAAGCCCCTCGTATTCTGAGAAAATGGCAGTAAAATCACTTTCGCTTTGGATTAAACATCCACCGTAAAAGTTAGGGTAAAGTATCTGTACATACTAATATGTATACACTCTGATATATTGTACATAAACATGGGATAAAATCATAGTACGGATAAGTCCATGTGCTTCCATGCAGTGGATATTGCTGTATATTTATGTATTACAGTGTGCATTATGTATCAAAGCATGCCAAAAGCAAATTACTGACAACCTCAACCTTCTGAGACATACTTATGTAATCTTAAGAACAAAAAAACCCATCTCAAGAACAGTAAACCTTTCTTTAAGAAAAAAAAAAAAAAAAAACTATCCTGAATGTCCTTAAAAAACCCTTCGGTGGTCAAAAGGAACATCAAAGCAACTTACGGCACTAGACAAACGGTCCAATTTATCTCAGTTTTCAACATTTTGCCATAAATGGAACTTTGTTTTTGTTTTGTTTTTTATTTATCATTGCTTGCAAAGTCAAAAATAAGTTAGTGCAAAATCAAGACGAAAATCTTTTCCAAAAATTAAGAACTCGCTCAAGTCTCTGCAAGAGTATTTCTGTGCCAAAGACAAGGCAAAAATGTTAATCCTGCAGCATTGGAGCAGACTGAACAGCTTAATAAAGCCGTTTTAACTGTAAACATCTTTATAATGTATAAATAATTCAAAAGAATTATAACAATTTTGTATGCAACTAATGCGGGGTGAAAAGGCAAGTTAATGCTTTGAGCATGCCATAATCCATAATCAAGAAAAATAACCTTATTAATACAGGAGGCATGAGCCTAATTAAAATGAAAAACTGCTGATCACGACTGAAGCCAAGGTGGAAATAAAGGAAGCACTGACAGCGGCATGTGCGCCCTCCTGCCAAAACACTGTCTTTACGTCAAAGCAAGTCTTTAGCACTGAGAAGACATTTTTTTTCAACAAAAACAAAAATAATTTGTAGCTTGGACTTCGTGTTTATGTGGTGAACACAGACAAGGATATGAAATGTGGCATGAAGTAATCTACATACAGATCAAATCACAGCAGACTGACAGGTTTTCTCTGTGGAAACTGAAGATGAGACGTGGGTCATGAGACACTGACTTCTCTGTCTCTACGACAAGCTCTGGGAGGTTGCGTAGACAATAATATGTGTGTTTTCGCAGTTAAGCCACGGGAGGTTGGTGATGCAAATGTCAGATTCACCCACTAAATGAGTAGGCGTCCAGAGGGCATGCCGCATGGGAAAATATTCAGACACTGAGGGCCTTGAAAAAGCTCCGCAAGCAATCTATGGCACTTTCTTTGACGTTTGTTGAGTAACGGTAAAAAAAAATGAGCTCTCTAGTGCTTTCCATTGAAAGACAGGGCAAAATTTGGGAAAACAAGCAGTCTGAATTTCTGTCAGTCATCCTTTTCTCCAGTTTATCAATCCATGAGAAGCTCAACTGTATTAACATGGTTATGTATGGATGATGTAATTGTGAGCGGTAAAGGTTTCTCAGTGGTTATGGAATGATGATCAATGACTTTTAGTCTGAATCAAAAGAGTGGTTTTGTGCGACAGAAGCGCTGATTGTGACACTACTTTTTTGTTGCATAGTTAGATGCGATAGCTTAGCTTCTTTGTTTAGCTTAAAAGGTTGTCTAGCCACTAACAACACCATCTAGTGCAAGCCGCATGTGTGATCATGCGTTCAGGGAGGTAGCCTTATCAGTGTTTATGGCTGCAGCTGACGCTCAGTGGATCTTTGGCTTTTCAAGTCTTGTGGAGATACCGAGTGGTACCGAAGCGTTGTGTTCGGGGTCAGCCTCTCTCCTGACCACTGCTGGCCAAGGCTGGGATAGCCGGCCGCGAGTCACGGCGACGTTCCCTGCACTGTAGCATGGCAAACCTCTGGACGGAGGAGGCGGAAGAAGCTGATGGGCCTTGTGGTTCATTGAGGGTCCTGGTTTTGGGTTTGACCCACTACTGCCCCCTATAGGCAGAACAGGGAGAGTTACCCGTTTGTGTAGACGTGGAGGCTGCAGGACACGCGGGCTGAAGGACAGGGTATGAGGTGTTTGCAGGAGTTTGTTTTGATGGCTTTCTGGGGTCGGTCTCACAATCTGTTCTCCAGCCCACTGTGAGACACTCTCATTGTTGTCTTGTATGCGAAGGTGGGTGCTAAGCAACCAACTCAGCTCCTCTGGGTCAGAAAGAGATTTAGACTCCACGTGAGGATCTCCAGCAGGAGGAAGAATTGGGTCGGTGGAGGGGACTGGAGGACAGGACGTAGAAGGCTGTTCTCCTTCGGTGCAGGCATCATTGTGGCCCCCGGTGGGGACTGTTCTTGCTAGTTTTCCCTGGATGAGGGGCTCGTTGGGGATGTGACTGATGGGCTGAAGTATTTGAGGCTGTGGAGGACAAAATAGAACAGTATTTAACACAATAAACTAGAACATAGATCTGCGATCAGTGGATAAGATAGTTTGGGACTGAAATTTGTGGTGTTTGTGATTGAAAACAGGTGTGACTTTCAAATTGTCCCATTCATAGAACAGCTTACAGGAGCAGTTACAGAAACACTGTACGAAGGGATAACTAATGTGATAGCTGTGAATAACAAAAGTGACTTAAGTGAATGTCAAAGATAGAGACTTCTATAACATCGGAAAGTATTCACATATTTGAGAAAAAAAACTCCTATTGAGGTTCATCCATCAAATCTTAATTCACCGACAGGAGCATCACATGTTTTATTTTTAACTGACAGCAACTGCTGTTCACTAGTTCCATTCACACAGCAACAGTAAGTCAAATGCACTCTTTGTTGCGAGTCATCATTCACAGTGCTTCACAGGAGTGAGTTGTCGCTGAGAGATATTTTGGAAGTTTACTTGTAGTGATTCTCTGATCAGAGTAGATTTCTTTACAGAATAATGGGTAATGTAGTTTTTCACCTGGAATTCAAATGTTAAACAATTGTTTAAAAAAAAAGATGAAATAAAGTGGGCTGGCGGCTTCAAAAAAAGCATATATCAATTCCCAAAAATATTCACATATCGAAAAAATGAATGGGAATTTTACTTTTGGAACCCCAATATTGCACTATTACAATTAAGTAAATTCCTCTTCCTGCAATTCAAATTCCAAATCAACTTCTCGGGGGGTGTGGCAGATTCTTCAATTCTGAATTTTACACAAGCCTGGTATTAACAAAACTGTATTCAGCAATCTAAAACAGCACTGAAAACTGTATTCTGTTGCTCTGTGAACATCGCCAGGTTGATGAGACGTTAGCGGTCAGTCGTCCTGTCGACTGTTCAGTTCCAAACAGAGTGTGACAGGGTGGATTTGAATGGATAAGCATGTATACAGGTGAGTTTCCGTAAACACAACTGAACTGTGCACCATGACAGAGGCACAAGTCCTTGTTTCCTTCTCATTCACTCTCTCTGTCTCTCATGGGCTGTTTCTGCTGAATAGCACAGCTCTACTGAAACCACACCACCCCCTACTGGTTAACAGTGGTTTTATGCAGCCTGCCACATTTCTATTCAGCCAGAGACCATTGTAAGGTGTGTATTATCTCCAGATACTATCACAAAACAATTTTATCACATGCCCAACCACACAGGGTTGAGAAAATGTCAAATTGAAGAGAGGTAAAGCATTACAATTTAAAATGCCACTAGAGAGTGCAAAAAAAACAGCAGAAAAACAACATAATCGTTCCTCACTTTAAGAATACAGAGCAAGAGTGCAGTGTGGGAACAAGGGAGTAAAAGTGTGAGCGAGGGTTTGTGCATGTGTGCAGGAGAGTTGTCAGTGGCGTGAGACAGTACAGACAGTCACATCCACTGCGTGACATCACAAAATCTCTGGGGTGGAGAGACGTCAGCGGACACCTGCAGATAACATCCATAATGCATTCATCTCTGTCCATCTCTGTCTCTTAGTGAGAACAGACGAGTCTCAAGAGACTGTAACCTTTTAAACCCTGTGACATAAATCTCTGTTCACACTGACATCGTTTTTAATCACGAGTTTGTCACTCCAAATGCAAATCATTTCTGACATTATTTTCCATGCATTTTTTCTTTTCATGTGAGCTTCACGGTCTTCACTCCTTTTTGTAGTTGTCGCATCACATCCCAGCTCACTTGCATATATGCGAAACTTCTCAACTTTGTCCATTTGCGGAACACAGCCAAATTGCGCCAGTCACCAGAAATTGGTAGCTCTCATTGAAAATGACTTCCGGTAACTTCCGGAACCTCCGGTAACACTGCCAGTGTGAAAGGAGCTTAAGAATAAAAGCAGATGCAATGAGTGTGCCCCTGCAAATGTCATAAAAGCAATAAGCCACCCAAGGCCACTTTTACAGTCATTGCAAGGTTAAAGGGTTAGTTCGCCCATTTAAGACATGAAGTTGTATGCAATCCTTACCAGCGCTATAGTGCATACACACTGACCCACTCTGTTGGTCACCTCCCTGGTCAGAGTTCTGGCTGCTGGAAGTTTTTCAATGAAGTACTCCCGGTTATTTTCCGGGGTCACAAAACTGTGCGTTTTTACGTGAAAAAAATGATTTGCGTTTCAAAGCTTGATTCATTTACCACACAAAAAACACGCCGGTCAAAATTCATACCTCAGTTTTAATCGGCACTATTTTCTATCCATTTCTATCAATCCGCGCTGCTGTCAACGTCAACAGTGCGCACGTTCAGATCAGCTGTTGATCGCGCGACTCGCTGACAACATGTCTGACTACGAAACTTCTGATGATGAAACCAATTTTAGCACAATATCAGACGGATCAGATGATGAAAGTAATTTTAGCACAACGACAATGTTATTGATTGCAACACCAAACCTCAATTGTGTGTGTGTTCAATCAAATAGTTTTCTCAGCAAATTGTACCAATATCCCTATAGGCTATACTGTTTTTATATTAGACATCTTTTCACGTGTTTTATAATGGAGTCTAACGTTAAACATCAGCTTGTTTACCGTACAGTTTAGACATGGGATCATAAAGTTAGTAAATAGAGCTTACCCGTGGTACTGGTACAGCAAAACTCTTTAATTTTCCTTTTCCTCCTTGGTTGTAATCGTCTTCGCTGAAGTGAGCACTACACACACGAAAATCCTTTATTCCGGACTGGATATTTTAGCTCCCGCAGAGTAGCCGATGGCAACCAGAAGCTGTCTCATAGTTATATTCGAAACAGGAAAACGATGGAATCTGAACTTTGATCCCGGTACATCGTTGTGGTCACAGCCTGGGAATTTACAAGTTCGCACCATTGTTAATCTAATACTTTTTACGTCGTTGTCAATGTCAATCGATTGTGTAAACACTATGGAACAGCTGATCTGAACGTGCGCACTGTTGACGTTGACAGCAGCATGGATTGATAGAAATGGATAGAAAATAGTGCCAATTAAAACTGAGGTATGAATTTTGACCGGCGTGTTTTTTGTGTGGTAAATTAATCAAGCTTTGAAACGCAAATCATTTTTTCACGTAAAAACACACAGTTTTGTGACCCCGGAAAATAACCAGGAGTAGGCCTACTTCATTGAAAAACTTCCAGCGGCCAGAACTCTGACCAGGGAGGTGACAAAAGAGTGGGTCAGTGTGTATGCACTATAGCGCTGGTAAGGATTGCATACAACTTCATGTCTTCAATGGGCGAACTAACCCTTTAAGGTATGTTCTTAAGCATAATGCAAGGATTAGTATCTAAAGCCCCCTTAACTGTGGTAAAATTACTGTATTGAACAGCCTCACAGCCTTATTACTTTTATTAAACAACAGCAACAGCATTATGATAAATGACACCAATTTTCAATAAACAATTTGCACACGATAAACAATTCTTCTGCCAAGTAATATAGTTCATTATACGGACTCTAGGCAGTTCTGGGGTTGCCAAGCAACATAGAAACTTAGAAACAACAGAATTCATCACAGGTGTGTTTTTATCGGCTTTGAACAAGGCTCATGACATCTAATTATAAATTAAAGTTGAAAATATCTGTTTTATAATACAATATATTAACATCATAAAAACAAAGGAATCCAATCATGCAGCACCGAACAAACAACAGCAACAAGACAGTAAAATGAAAAACAAAGACGTCGAACAGATTCTATGCTGCTCTGACATTGTGGACTGGTTCAAAATCTTAATGTCTTTTATAGGGGTTTTATAACACCGCTACAGATGAGGATGTGCTAAAATTGCAACAATGGCTTGCAGGATGCTTGCAAGACTATCATAAATCCTAATAAATTATTAAACCTAGTGAACTATTTATAATTTTTTTAAATTGTTAAATGGAATGAAAGTAAAATGCAGTTTTGTTGTGGTGGGGTAAATGAAAATCTGAACTTTTTGCCCTAAAGGCCTAGAAAAAGAAATCCTTTTTATTAGTCCTTAATAGTCAAAATTGCAAAGCATCTGCACAAAAATGGTTTGTGCAGGTGCTTGCAAGACTATCATAAATGAGTAATGTTTTGCACTGTATGCCACTGTTTTCTAAAAAAAGAATTAGAATTCATAGCTTTCATGTAGTTTCATTACCGTATATTATATTACAACTATTGTTGCAGTAATAGCTTTTTCTTGTAAAGAAAACTTTCCTGATTGAATGAAACATGGAAATATATTTTTCTGAACCAAATAAAAGGATTTTAAAGAAAAATGTATAATCTTTTGTGGTGGGGTCCAAGAAAATCTGAACTTTTGGCCTAGAAGAAAACAATCCTTATTATTGAGCCCTAATAAGCACCTCGATTTCAAAGAAGCGCATGGAGAATCAACTGACTCTGAAACGTTTCTCAAGATAACATTCGTAACACGATTGCTAGATATTACAACAGAAAGAGCTGGCTCTAATTCAGTCATTCATCTTACTATAAGATTTGGCTGATGAAATGTGGCCATTTTGATAATAGAGAAGGTTTTTAATATCCTGAGTTTGTAGAAGTGGAGGTTATAATGTGAATCCCGAAGGAGTTATTGGATCATTTTATTTTAATTGTCCTCTAAAACTGTTCAGCGTCTCCCTGTGCAGTCACAAGACCAAGGACAATTGCACCATGGGCTAATTCCCTGCTTGTGTGTGTGTGTGTGTGTGTGTGTGTGTGTGTGTGTGTGTGTGTGTGTGTGTGTGTGTGTGTGTGTGTGTGTGTGTGTGTGTGTGTGTGTGTGTGTGTGTGTGTGTGTGTGTGTTTGAGATGTTTAAACCCTGGTCCACCTGTGCAGACTGATGTCTGTTTGGATAAAGTCTCTGGGAGCGGGCTGAGAGAAGCGGTGAGTCTCCCAGAACATACCAGTATACACTGTAGCTCTAGCAAAGACCGATCTGACACAACCACAGCAGTCACAGACCATGGAGGAA